TTTGGGAAACACGTTAGATCTTCCACTTTAAATAAATGACAACAACGTAGGAGTTCTATACTTGCCCCAAAATTTGGGAAAACGTTAGATCTTTCACTTTAAATAAATGACAACAACGTAGGAGTTCTATACTTGCCCCAAAATTTGGGAAAACGTTAGATCTTCCACTTTAAATAAATGACAATAACGTAGGAGCTCTACACTTGCCCCAAAATTGAGGAAAACGATAGATCCTCCACTTTTAAATAAATTGTAACAACGTAGGAGTTCTATACTTGCCCCAAAATTTGGGAAAACGTTAGATCTTCCACTTTAAATAAACGACAACAACGTAGGAGCTCTACAATTGCCCCAAAATTTGGGAAAACGTTAGATCTTTCACTTTAAATAAATGACAACAACGTAGGAGTTCTATACTTGCCCCAAAATTTGGGAAAACGTTAGATCTTCCACTTTAAATAAATACAACAACGTAGGAGTTCTATACTTGCCCCAAAATTTGGGAAAACGTTAGATCTTTCACTTTAAATAAATGACAACAACGTAGGAGTTCTATACTTGCCCCAAAATTTGGGAAAACGTTAGATCTTCCACTTTAAATAAATGACAATAACGTAGGAGCTCTACACTTGCCCCAAAATTGAGGAAAACGATAGATCCTCCACTTTTAAATAAATTGTAACAACGTAGGAGTTCTATACTTGCCCCAAAATTTGGGAAAACGTTAGATCTTCCACTTTAAATAAACGACAACAACGTAGGAGCTCTACAATTGCCCCAAAATTTGGGAAAACGTTAGATCTTTCACTTTAAATAAATGACAACAACGTAGGAGTTCTATACTTGCCCCAAAATTTGGGAAAACGTTAGATCTTTCACTTTAAATAAATGACAACAACGTAGGAGTTCTATACTTGCCACAAAATTTGGGAAAACGTTAGATCTTCCACTTTAAATAAATGACAATAACGTAGGAGCTCTACACTTGCCCCAAAATTGAGGAAAACGATAGATCCTCCACTTTTAAATAAATTGTAACAACGTAGGAGTTCTATACTTGCCAATTTGGGAAAAGTTAGATCTTCACTTATAAATATGACAATAAACGTAGGATCTCTACACTTGCCAAATTGGGGAAAACAAATATCTCCATGTTTAAAATAAATTTGTAAAGAACGTGGATTCTATTACTTTGCCCAAATTTGGGGAAACGTTAGATTCCTTAAATAATGATAAACGTAGGAGCTTAACAGATTGCCTCCAAAATTTGGGAAACGTTAGATCTTTCACTTTAAATAATATGAAACAACGTAGGAGTTTATACTGCCCCAAATTTGGGAAACGTTAGATCTTCCACTTTATAATAATGAATACGCTAGGAGCTCTACGTTGGCCTCCAAAAGTTGGGAAAAGATAGATCTCACTTTTTAAATAAATTGTACAGACGTAGGGTTCTATCTTGCCCAAATTGGGGAAAAAATAATCTCTCATTTAAATAAATGACAAAACGTAGGAGCTCTTTACACTCTGCCCAAAAATGGGGAAAACAATAGATCCTCCAATTTTAAATTAATTGGTAAACGTAGGATTCTATACTTGCCCAAACAAATTTGGAAAACGTTAGATCTTCACTTTAAATAATGAAATAAGTAGGAGCTCTACACTTGGCAAATCTGGGGAAAACAAATAGATCTCACTCACTTTTAAGATAATTGTAAACGTAGGAGTTCTATACTTGCCCAGAATTTGGAACGTTAGATCTTCCATTTAAATAATGACAACACGTAGGAGTTACAATTGCCCCAAATTTGGGAAAGTTAGATTTTACCCTTTAAATAAATGACAAGCAAGTAGGATTCTATACTTGGCCAAATTTGGAAAACGTTAGATTCCATTTAAATAAATGACAATAGTAGGAGCTTACACTTCCCCAATTGAGGAAACGAATAGATCTTCACTTTTAATAAATTGTAAAGTAGGGAGTTATATCTTAGCCAAGATTTCTGGAAAAACGTTTGATTCCACTTTAAATAAATGACAACAACGTAGGAGTTCTATACTTGCCCCAAAATTTGGGAAAACGTTAGATCTTTCACTTTAAATAAATGACAACAACGTAGGAGTTCTATACTTGCCCCAAAATTTGGGAAAACGTTAGATCTTCCACTTTAAATAAATGACAATAACGTAGGAGCTCTACACTTGCCCCAAAATTGAGGAAAACGATAGATCCTCCACTTTTAAATAAATTGTAACAACGTAGGAGCTCTACAATTGCCCCAAAATTTGGGAAAACGTTAGATCTTTCACTTTAAATAAATGACAACAACGTAGGAGTTCTATACTTGCCCCAAAATTTGGGAAAACGTTAGATCTTCCACTTTAAATAAATGACAATAACGTAGGAGCTCTACACTTGCCCCAAAATTGGGGAAAACAATAGATCCTCCACTTTTAAATAAATTGTAACAACGTAGGAGTTCTATACTTGCCCCAAAATTTGGGAAAACGTTAGATCTTTCACTTTAAATAAATGACAACAACGTAGGAGTTCTATACTTGCCCCAAAATTTGGGAAAACGTTAGATCTTCCACTTTAAATAAATGACAACAACGTAGGAGCTCTACAATTGCCCCAAAATTTGGGAAA